GAAAACCCTCTGGAGAGTCAGTTAAGGGTCTGCTCCAACTCAGTGGTACACAGTGGGATTTCAAAGGCTGTAAAATCACATAGGAAGAGATTGCTCTTCTTTCTCCCGAGGAGCAGCTGGTGAATTCGAACTACTCACCTTTAGACTGGCAGCGCAACTCCTTACCCAAATGGCCGTCAGAGCACCTAACAGTGATATCACAAACCAAAAAGAAGAATCTATTTAAGAATAGGTAGGCAATTGCAAAAGAATAGGCAATTACTCATAAACATAAGTGGGGAAAAAAGTCAGAAATATTAGCAAATAGAATCAATAAGTTAATTCTATAAAAGAAAAAATAAAAGTATTCTATTGAGACTAAGTTAGATTAATGAAGAATGCAAGATCTGATTAACAAGTTGAAATAAATTAATGTGTCATTCTTTTAAAAGAGTAAAAGAACAAAAAACCATATGATCCTCATAATACAGTAAACCTATTGCCATCCAGTTGTTTTTGACTCATAGAGACTGGTTTCCCAGGCCGTAAATCTTTATAGGAGGAGACAGCCCATCTTTCTCCTGAGGACTGCCTAGTGTATTAAAACCACTGGCCTTTGGGCTAGCAGCTGGATACATTATGAATTATGTTACCTGGGATCCTTGGTCCTCTTAATACGAAGAAAGCTTTGGATAATGTTTAATTCATGATCCCTGCTGACTGCTGATACTTTCTATTTTATTTAATTTATTTCATTTGTAAGATACTTGCCCTATCTGCTATCTCATGATGTGAAAAATATCTGCTATACTATGTGCAACAAGGCCATAGGATATCTACATTATGAACTTTTAGAAGATAACCTAGATTATTATTCTCCAAGGTGGTTTCACAAATTTGCATCACCAGCAGTGTGTAGGATTTCCTGTTGATTCACAGATAGCTAACAATTAGGGTACAAAGAGACAAATAGAGCTAAGTTGAGATCCCAGAAATAGATTAATGAATTGAAATCAAGAGTGTGGCAAAGGCCTTCAAAGGTAAAGGTAATATTCTGTTTTGTGTTTTTAAATTAATTTTAATAAGCATTTACAGAGATTTTTAATTTCCATACATATATTGTTGCATTTTAATATTCTGCTTCTTAAACTGGGTGGCAGGTTCGCTTTTAAAATACACATACACATATACATATTCATACTAAATTAACAAGGAGCCTTGGTGACACATTGAGTAAGTGCTGTACTGTTAACTAAAGAGTTGACAGTTGTTTGTTTTTTGTTTTTCCCCTCTGGTTCTTCTTTGGGAGCTCTAGTGGCCTAGAGTGGCAAGAAGCTGCATTGCAATCCTGAAGGCACAGGGTTCGAAACCACGCCTTGGTGACACATTGAGTAAGTGCTGTACTGTTAACTAAAGAGTTGACAGTTGTTTGTTTTTTGTTTTTCTCCTCTGGTTCTTCTTTGGGAGCTCTAGTGGCCTAGAGTGGCAAGAAGCTGCATTGCAATCCTGAAGGCACAGGGTTCGAAACCACCAGCTACTTCACAACCACCAGCTGCTCCGCAGAAAAAGGATGCACAATCTCCTCCTGTGTGATTAACTGCCTCTGAAAATGCACCAGAGAGTCAGCTCGTTGGGTCTGTTCCGACTCAACGGTACATAGCAAATAACAACAATAGCTTGTTGAACTGTAGATCTACCCAGTGGCTTTACAAAAGAACAATCTACTTCCAAAAAGAAAACCTCTTGGGCAGTTCTCCTCTGTCACATGCAGTTGCTATGTGCTGAAAAATCAATCATACCTAACAAAACATTCTGAATGCATATGTATATAATCAACATTTAATAAAATAATAAAAACTAAAACTCCATTGTCTATCCAAATTAACAACCTAAAGGCGCGTTATCAAGAGGGACTGATCCTTAGAAAAAGACATCATGTTTGGAAAGGTGAAGAGTCAGAGGAAGAGAGGAAGACTCCAACACATGGACACAGTGGCAGGAACAATGGGTTTGAGCATGTCAGAGATTGTGAGGATGGTTCAAGATAGAGCAAAGTTCAGATCTGTGGTTCACAGGATCGCTATGACTCGAAGTCTACAGATGGCCCATAACAACAGCCACAACCTAAATGTTTCACTGAATGATCACTGAACCGAGTATATTATTAACGTACTGGTGACATAGTCCACTTTGTGTTCCTCTGCTACTTAAAGGCCACCAATTCTCTGTGGTTCCAATAAAGGAGGGGCTTTGAAGGAGAAAGGTTGCTCCCAGTAAGATTTACATACAGCCTTGGAAACTCCACAAAGGATCCTTATGATTTGGAATAGACTTGATGGGAATGAGTCTGCCTTTTTGTTTTTGTAACACATTTTTATCAATAGGACAAGAATAGCCGTGTCTTATTATTATAGCCATGTCCTATTGATTATTCTTTTCCCTTGTTCTTTGAAATAAGACAACAATGACTTTGACTTTGAACAGAAGTCTCAAAAAGACATTCTAGACTTCAAGAATAAAACAGAACATCATGTGTTACATCCCCCTACTTCTGATTTCTTATCATCTAAATGTCCCAATGTCTTAACTAGAGATAAAGCCCAGCATGGACCTCAGTGCATTTCTGGATGCAGCTACTTCTGGACCAACAGAGAAGTACCCACCACTCTGAAGATGCCATTTTGTCTGTATATTTCCCATTGTCTAGAAGTAGTAAAATCTTTGCCAGCACAATTTTTCTAATGTTTGCCTTCTCATTTTTACTTGCCCTTTACTATGGTTAACATTGAGAAGAATGAGAATTCCAGAACATTTAATTGTGCTCATGTGAAACCTATTCCTAGACTAAGATGCTGTTGTCTGAACAAAGCAAGGGAACACTACATGGTTTTAAATCAGGAAAGGTGTACATCAGGATTGTATCCTTTCTCCATATCTATTCAATCTGTATGCTGAGCAAATCATTTGAGAAGATGGAGTTTATGACGAATGCGGCAGCAGGACTGGAAAAAGGCTCATCAACAATCTGTGCTATGTAGCTGACACACCTTGCTTGCTGAAAGTGAGGAGGACTTGAAACATTTAGAGGATCAAACACTGTACTTTTCTATATGGATTGCATCTCCACATTAAGAAGACAAAAATCCTCACCACTGAACTGATAGGCTACATCATGATAGATGGAGAAATGGCTGAATTTGTCAATGATTTAATTTTGTTTGGGTTTACAATCCTTGGTACCAGCAGTCAGGAGATCAAGAAACATATTGCACTGGGCAAATCCACTGTCAGGGATCTCTTCCAATTACTGAGGAGCAATGATGTCAGTTTGAAGACTAAGGTGCACTTGATTTAGGCACTTGTTATACATCTGAGAACTGAACCGTGAATGAGGATAGCGGAAGAATAATCAATGCCTTTGGACTGTGGTGTAGGAGACAAGCACTGAATATTTCATGAATTGCCAAAAAAAGAAATGTGTCTTAGAAAAAGTGCAGCCAAACTGCTTCTTGGAGCAAGGATGGAAAAACTTCCTCTCTCATATTTTCTGCCTGTTGCCAGGAGAGGCTATTCCTTGAAGAAGGATGTCATGCTTGGATAGGTAGCATGGTCAGCAAAATAAATCCAAAATGAGATGAATTGACACAGTGACTACAGCAATGAGCTTACGTATGTCAGCCAGAAATTATGAGGATGGCACAGGATAGGACAGGGTTCAGAGCAACTCAGTGGCACCTAATAACAACAACAACAGCTTTACTTAGATATTCGTTCCTGTCACCAAAAAATATTTCCAAGGAAGAAAAAAAACTAAAAAGAAAAACTAGCAAGGTTTGTTTGTTTGTTTGTTTTAATGTAGCTTTAGGCAAAAGTAAGCTGAACATTTTCAGAGCCTTTCTTCTGTCATTATACATTCAAAGTGAGTGATATTTCCCCCCAACATTTCCCCCGGTCGCTTTTCTCCACAAAGGCTATTTGAGAGTCTCGGAAATGAACTCTCATAACCAAGAAATCCAGTTCCTTTCTCTTAAAAGTTAATAAATGGCATTCTTTGTGTCCACAGACTTGTAGTGATGTTGGGTTTGTTCCACTGGAGATTTAGGTCAAACGGAACAGGCTTTGTACTCCTGCGCTATTACCCTAGTTCCAGCAAATTAAGATAGTTGGGGAGAACGTGTTCAGAATCTAAGTGTTTTCCTTTATAAAGAAAAGAACCAAACCACAAGGCTTTTCTCATTCATGATGAACAGTGCCTAAGGACGGGGCTATTCTATGTATTGAGATGTCTGAATAAATCAACTTATTTTCGAGGAATTATGGAAAGGAGAGGAATATATATGAGAGGAATCCCAAGTGGGGTCGTTGCTCTCTGGAGACTTCCCTGGCTTTCCTGCAAACAACCTCTTGAGAAAGAATTAGAAGAGCGAGCCAAGAGCGGAGAGGAACTCATTTAAATTCTTTTCTCTTTGCCTTCCCAGTAGCAAACAGCAAGAAAGCAAGAAAACTCTCCTTTCCCCAGGAGAGAGAAGAGGCGGGGCTGTTTGCACCATAGATGCCTCACTCAGCCTGGGCTCCTGAGTCCACGGCCAATAGGATCCAAGCGAGCCCGAACCGTGGCCAATCAGAGACGGTCAGCCGCTGACAACCCCACCCCCACTCCAGCGCTTTAAGAAGTAGCGGCTAGGCATCCTGGGAGGAGAGCGCAGCGCGGAGTGGAGACGCTACCTACCACTATGTCCCTGCAGGTAACAGGGAGGGTGGGGGCGCCACCCACACGAAAGCCTGCAAGGCAGAGGCGATGGTCTACACGAGCTGGGACAGGTGATCGATCACCCCAGAGGGTGGGCACAGGGCGAGCAAGCCTGGGCGCATTATTGATTTCAGCACTTCTGAGCTCCTCAGAGTGGTCGCCTCTCCATGCAGAGCAGACTGGACGGTGACCAAGAAGAAACTCCTAACTTGTCCCCTTACTGCAAATTTAGACCTCTTCTGTGCTATCTGTTGAGGAGCCAGCGCTCCCGATGGCAACTCTTCTGGACCCCAGGGATTGGCAAACCTACCGCGAGCGGAAAAGTAGGTGTAAACCCTCGGGAGGGTAGCGCAGGGTTGCATCTGCACTTCTTGGAGAGGGAGGTGGGGACAGTGGAGGTCCCCTGGGAGGAAGGAAGACCTGTGTCTTCATTGTATGTCCAGAAAATCCATGGACAAGTGAACAGCAAAGATTTGTAAAATTCTGATTTAAAAAATATAGCTTTCTAAAAAAAAAAAAATATAGCTTTCTGAGAATATAAAAATAAGTATGCTCAGCGAGGGAAAATATGGAAAACTGAACAAATAGAAAGTAAAGTAGAACTACCAGGAATTAGATAATCTGAAGATAACCCCCTGTTAATATTTGTAGGTTGCTGTGAGGTACTTGCAGAGCACAACACAACAAAACTGCCTGATCCTGCTACCATCACAATTTCTGCTCTACTTACGCCATTGTTCGAATCACTATGCCAGTCCATCTAATTGAGGATCATCCTCTCTTTCGCTGACCCTCTATTTTTCAAAGCATGATGACCGTCTCTAGGGACTGACCATTTCTGATAATGTGTCCAAAGTATATGAGACAAGTCTCACCATCCTGGCAGCTAAGGAGCACTCTGCCTGTATATCTTCCAAGGCAGATTTGTTCCTTTGAAAGTTCATGGTATATTCAGTTCTCTTAACACCACAATTCAAAAGGCATTGACTTTTATTTTCCTTATTACTGTCCAATTTTAATATGCATATGATCTTTTTTCTTTATATTGAGGGGTAATCCATGCTGAGGGCAATAGTTTTTGACCTTCAGTAAGTATTTTAAGATCCTTCACTTTCAGCAAATATCTGGGAGTCTGAGTTTGGGGATGTGCATATGTATGTGCACACCATTATGCTCTGATGTGTGTACCATGTCTTTGTTCCTGGACTTAACACTACATTGTAAGCATTTTCTCATGACTACACATCTTTCTAAAATGTGACTCTTTTAAAAAAACATTAAGATTTTATGGATGAGCAAGGCCACCTTGCTTAAGCATTTCTTCAAGCAGTATGTTTGTTATCTTGGTTAAGGTCTGTATACACAGAGTCAGCTGACCTCAAAACCCTTCTTTGTGACTTAGTTATATAACCTCTCCATCTTAGTTTCCATGTCTCAGAATGAAGGAGATACTGTTAAGATTAAGTAAAATGGAAAAATTGAGTATTTAAAATAGTACCAAACCTGTAGTTAAGTGTCCATTAAGGAAAATTGTCATTGACAATTGAGGAAATTTAATTGATTCACTTACACATGACTTATTTAATTCATCTTGCTCTTTTCTCCCATATAATAAAAAGTTTCAATATAAAAATTTTCTTCCAATGAGAAAATCTGAATGTTTCCCTTTAAGATTCTTCCTGGTATTTCTCACTCACTCACTCGCTGACTGCTGTGAGTTGGAATGGACTCATCATCAGTGAGCCTCTAAAGCTGTAGATTGCATGGAGGAAGTTGGCCATTTTTCCTCTCTAAGCCTCTGGTGGAATTGAATCGCAGGAGAGACACAATCTTTGGCTTAGCAGTTCAACTGTCTGTGAATTAGGCCACTAGAGAACCTTAACTATTTATACAGGCTTTAAAAATGTTTACAATCAGGATATTAAACTTGAGGAACATCAAAGGAAAGTAATGTATGTTAAGGAACCTCAGTGACAATCAGTATATAATGTTACTTATTAACAATCCATTTAAGTACTTGGAATGTTGGGAAACAACATTTTAAGAAGGCAACAACCAATTACTGTCTAAGTTATATTTAAATTCATCCTTCTTTATAACGTCACTGGTATCTTCTGTAATTATATTGGATCTATGTTTCATCAGGATGCTCTCAATGGTTCACTTAGGATAAGTGGAAGGAAAGGCAATTCATGCAGCGTTGTTATTTTTCTCTTGATACTATAATAATACTGACAGACTATAATAGAGCTAACACTATATATAGGATTCCTATTCAAGTGTAATCTTCAAATTATATTTTAAAAGAACAATATGTTTAATTCCTCCACAAAGCTTTTAGGAGATCTAGTTAACAGTCATTTAAACTGGACATATTTTTTCTTTGCTAGATGATAATGCTAAAAAGGAGGCTGCTTCTTTTAAAATAAAAATGTATCCTTTTGAGTCTAAAGGATTCATGATTTTACAATTGGCAAATAACTCCCACCCTCAGATTTAGATAGTTTAAGGAATTGCTCTGTTGATTACAATTAAGAGTTTATACTCTTCCTAGTTCAGTTCCTCAATGGGAAGAGTTGTTCCAAAAGGCATTGCCAGTCCCGTGTATCTAGGATATTTATGCTCTGTAAATGTAGAAAGTAAAGTTAGATTTATGTGTGAATCAGCCTCAGAAGCCATCTTCAGTTACAGTGAAATTGGAAAGCAAATGGACAAAGAAGGCAGAATAGTCCTTGTTACGGATTGAATTGTGTTCTGAAAAGATGTTTTGAATATTGTTAACTTCTGCGCTTGTGGTCAGCCATGAGCCCATTTGGAAAGGGATTGCCTTTGTATGTTAATGAGGCAGTTATAGGCTGTATCTTCCCCTCCTTTTTAAAAATTGGTTTGCATGCAAGAATTCATTTACATTGTGTTCCGCTCATGTGTATTGTGCTTTATACAATCTTTCATCTACTTTGTTTGTGTTTCATACCATGAACACTGGCTCTTTAGTCAATCTATGTTGGGTACCCTCAGGTTGACTCTGACTCATAAAAACCCTATTTGCCCTGTTCTGTATCATCCTCACATTGTGTCTATCCATTTCCTGTATGTCTTTCTCTTTTTTTTGACCCTCCACCTTTCCCAGCATGATGCCTCTTCCAAGAACTGACCCCTCCTGACAACATGCCCAAAGTATGTGAGATGAAGTTTCACCATCCTTCCTCCAGGACAGGCTTGCTTGTTCTTTTGGCAGTTCATGGGATATTCAGTACTCTTCTCCAGCACTACAATTCAAAGTCGTCTTCAATTTTTGCAAGCAAGGTTGTGTCATCTGCATAGCACTGGCTGTTGATGAATCTTTTGCAATATTGATACCACTATATTCTTTTTATAGTTCAGCTTTTTGCTCAGCACACAAATGAAATAGATATGGTGAAAGAATAAAATGCCCAAACAGGGGGGGTGGGGGGGGCGGGCGGGAAGAAGGGTGCAACAATGAATGAATGGAATTCCAAAATCTCTGTAGATGTTCATTGGAATGAAAAATAAATTAAAAAAAAAGAATAAAATGCCAACACATACATTCCCCCCCCCCTTGAGTTTATGCCATGTAGTAGCTCCTTGTTCTGTTTAAACAACTGCTTTTTGGTTCACATACAGGTTCCACATGAGCACAATTAACTGTGCTGGGAATTCTATTTTTAATTTTGTCTGTAATTGGTCATAAATCATGCAGTGAGATGCCTTTGGTTTTGGTTCTGTTTTGTTTTTAGTGAGATGCCTTTGTACAGTCAATAAAACATCATTCTGATATTCTCTGCTTTCAGAGAATATTCATCTGACTTCAGCAAGGATAGTCCTTGTTCTTCAACTTCTTATGAATCCAGTTTGAATTTCTGGCCATTCTTTGTCCGTATATTGCTATAATGCCAAGCTCCTAAATTTTGGGGCCCCTTTTTACAATCTTAAGCACCATGTTTTCAGGGGTAGTTGCTTCCACATCCTCACCTCCGATAGAGACTCAAGACCACTCAGTCAAGGCACAAGGAGTATCTATTGGCCAACCTCATATCCAGGGTGATACAAGCAAGCAGCTTATAAAAGGAGGTTGAGGTGGAGTGCTTTATAAGCAGTTTGTAAAAGGGAAGTACACTTAGCAGGGGCTTTTCACAAAAGCAGGGCATTTAACAGTTCCCAGAATAATTTCAATCATTGCTATGGTTGCCAGGTACAAGGGAACAGAGAGGGTGCCAGATATAATGGAGCACCTTAAAGGTACTTAAAATGATGAATTAGTTGGATACATGTGATGCGTTCTAGGAGACCAGAGGCCAGAGCGGATGGAACCAAATAAAAAAATGTTTACTTTCTTGATTGTATCTGATCCTAATGCTATCCCTTTGAGACTGGTAGGTATTTTACTTGCACGAAGTCCTATAGAAGTGTGCCTTAGAGCTAGATTTCAAGCCCTAGCATTCCGACACAAAGCCTATGAGCTCTCCACAACTGTACACCAGTGTCATTATGGAAAAGGCCTCAGACAGGCCCTTTGTACATCTGAACAACCCCTTAAAGCAGAAGTTGGAATCCGGAAGGTATCAGGCATGAGGAAAGTGTGTGCTGAGCAAAAAAGAACAATCCCGGGCTCTCCTCCACAACAGGCTATCTTACCTTCAGGAGAAGCAGCACAGGAACCCCTCAAATTGTGTTTGAAACTCTTATCAGGGTGAGCTGCTTCTGTGGATAGTGTCCAAGGCTTTCAGCAAACTTTCTGTGTCTCCATATCCTCCCAAAAGTGAAGCACAATGTTCCAGAAACGCCTTCCTGATGGCCAGGGACCTCTCATGATTTTTAAAGTAAGGATTCTAATGAAGCCATAGCTTACTAAAATGAGTAGAATTGCTACCATTGGAAAATAACAGGAGGCTTTATAGTCTGCAGGACACTGGAGAAGTGAGATGTGCCTGGAGGAAGTGAACACTACACCTCTCTCCACCATCCCCCTCCCTCATCCTCTCTTCATTGTCATGCCCTGTCTTGCCCTTAGGAAGCCCTGTACTCTAATATAATTTTTTTCTTATTTATAAATAGAACATTTGTGCATTATAGAAAATTTGGAACATATGGAAAGGATTTAAAAATCAGAAAGCTTATCAACAGAACTTATCAGAACTTACACTTTTTGCATATTTCTTTAGTCTTTAATTTTTGCTACACAGTTTACAAAAATAAGCATTAAAAACAAGTTTGTAATTTTTGTTAAATCACTAACCCAAAGAATTTTTTTTTGCAAAGACTCTTTTAATGCCCTGCTTCATAGTAATTTCCTGCCCCCAGGATTATTTTTTTAAAAGCCTGTTAATAAAAAGAAGAAATAGAATATAATGTTGTTTGTTGTTGTTGATTGCTGTCTAGTGCAACTCATAGTGACCCTATGATCAAACGACCTGACAAAGTTCATAGAGTTTCCAGAGGCATATTCTTTAGGAAGTGGATGTCACTCCTGCAATAGAAAATGTAATTTGTCATAACAGTAAAAATAGAAAGAAAAGTAATAGCCAACCTTTATTGATTACTCACCATGTTTCAGGCACTGTTTTAAGCACATTAGGTGCATGAACTTTAAAAAATTCTCCCAATGACTTTATGTGTCATTACTGTTGTTATATTTCAGGTG